CACCCTCCAAAATCTATTTAGAAAGTTTTGTGCAGCAGAAATTGTCCTTAAGGGAAGCCGGGCATCCTGCTCAGTGGAACATGTCAGGAGCTGCAGGAAAAGGGCAGCTGGCGAATTTGTTTCCAGAACTTGTTGCTCTAGTCCCATGATACTGCGTGCAATTGTTGAAATGACAGATTCATCTTCTTTAATTAAATAACGCTACTCCTCAAAGAGTAAGAAGTATTTCTTTTTGGGAGAGCACTTATCAGGAGCATCAGCTTGGAAAGGTTTCAAAGGAATCCGTGGAGAGCGCCCGACTCCCTCTCCAACTTTTTCCTCTACGGGATGCTCCCATCACCTGGAAAGATCTGGGAAACAGCCTTCGGTCTTTTATCCCAGTGCCAAATGGAAACTCTCCCATGCTTGGCTGGGAATAGGCGGATTGGTGCTGCTGTAGTTGCAGATCTTCTGTTGATGGTCTACTTTGTGCGCAGTAATGACTCAGGATACAGGCTGGAGAGGCGATCACGGGTGTCTCCCTTAGCCTTCAAGACTGGGCAACAGAAAAGTGAGGACTGAAAGACTTCCCAACCAGATGTGGCCATACTAGTAGTCCCAGGTTGTGACTATGTGCATTTTCTCCCATGACCTACACTCCTTAACAAACAAACAAAAACACGCAGTTTTTTAATGCAACCAAAAAAGTACTTGCGCCCTCTAGTGGCTGATTTTTCACACACCCCAAAAATGTGTAGGAATATTGGAGGGCCACCCCAGTTGTAAACAACAGCCACTCAAAAACATAATGCGTTTCCGGGGTGTATCAGCTTAAAATAAGTGAAAATTAAAATTCAAGTGTTCCTCGACACACCGGTGTTTTCATTTTTCATGCATCCAGTTCGGTGCAAGAGGACGTAATCTGTATTGTCAGTCTGTAAAAAAGATTTTTGAGAAATCCTCGTGGCAGTAACCTGTGCACAGTTGTCGATTTTATTTTTCCATGTCTCGTTTGCCTCTGACAAAGGAATCTCAGCCTTTCCCAAAATGCATCGGGCACTGCCAAATCATAAACACGGAGGCTTTGAAAAATGTGGTTTCTCTTGGTTTTCATACTTGTTTTCGGCATCTACCCTCCGCTCGTTTATTTCTCACTATCCTGGTTTTCAGTTGACTCCGAGGAGCCCCATGGCATGTTTGGACTGGCAACGAGGAGGCTGGCAGTTTTTGCAAACACTTTTTAAAAAAAAATTGAAATGAGGGAGGCAGAGATGCCTTCCTTCCCTTGAAGGGGTTTTCGTCCCGTGTTTTCGAACTGCAACTCCCAGAATGCCTTAGCCAACATGGACGCTTGATGGGAACCTGGAAGATAGACCTGGAACTTCCAACCCCATGAGCAGAAACGGACATTTGTTTTGTGAAATAAGCAAATTTGCACAATATATTCATCTCCCAGAATCCATTCCTTAGCACGGCACAATATCCTGGTTGTGTTTTTCTGAGGAGTAGGTATACTCTTAAAACGCAAGGTTTCCAAATTGTACGCAGATGTTTTTCCCAACTGGAGAGTCTGGAAATCTTAGTCCGGAAAAAGGAACTTTATGCAGCTCTGCTTCCTTTCTTTTGATGGATGCTTCTGCGTCTCAAGCCCATGGCTTTTGGCTACGATGAATGGTGGGGGTCCCTTTCTGTCATTCCCCCCCCCAATCCCCTGGGGTTTCTTCCGTGGCTTGTCTGGACGTGGGAGCGAGAAAGCAACGTGAACGTCCCGAATTTGCCACAGCACTGTGGGATCCCAGAAGACATGCCAAGTTATTTTGGCGGTGGGTGGGGAGCCATCTGAAGGGGGAAAAAAAAGAATAACCCATCTCTGTCTGTTCCTCTCTCTTTGTTGCTGTGAGTTCCCAGAGCCTGAAAGGGCCCCGCTCCGTGGAGAGGAAGGGGCAGCCAGGAAAAGCTCCGTGCGCAGCCTTCGGGAGGGAAGTGGTTTCAGAGGGAGCCTCGGCTGATCCGAGCGCAGTCTGTGCCGAGGGAGCTTTGTGGCAGCCGGCGTTGGCAAGCGGGGCTCTTGTTCTGCTGACTTTGGCTGGCTCTTGACCACTTTGGCTTCTGCTAATGGCCCGTGGATACACTGGAACTCCTCAGTCCTGGAAGCGCAAAGCCCAGCCCAGTCCATTCTGGGGAGACAAAGGAGGGCTGTTGAGCTGCTCAAGCAAAGTCTTGGAGGGCGGGGTGCCCAGGAATGTTGGAAAGGGCCTTCTAAGGATGAGATGTCCAGATTTTCTGGACCACAGGCCCCCTTAAATTCTCCATTCTGGGAGTTCTTCCTGCCTTATAGTAAGTACACCTTCCAAACTTCATGGGAGAAAGCCCCAAAGTGGAAGACTTAGCTCGGCCCAGCTCGGCCTAGCTTCCGGTTCAGAAAGAAAGCTCCCAGATACCACTGGGGCAGGAACAGGAAGTTTGGACAGAGCTAGGCCTAGCTCAGCCTCAAAGGCTTCCGATTTAGGCCTTTCTCCCACAGTTAGATGTTTATAATGTGCATGTTAGGTAGGCAGAACTCCCAGAATGAAGAATTATGATATCTATAGTCCCTCCCAAAATCCCAGGCCCAATCCTGTTTAGCTTCTGTTATCAGATCACAGCAACATGTTCAAATGAATATAATAGTTCCATTTGTGGTAAGCTCAGTGGTGGAGGTCTCTGGCTGTGGAGCTAGAGGTTGAGAGTTCGATTCCCCACTGGGTCCGCTTAAGCTAGAGGTTGAGAGTTCAATTCCCCACTGGGTCCACTTAATAGGGGCTGAACTTGATGATCCATAGGGTCCCTTCCAGCTCTCCAGTTCTAAGACTATAAGATGATGTTGATGATTTCCTAAGTATTTTTAGCCAGCATGAACACTGGTCTTGGTAGATAGTTCTCTGAGCTGTCACTCCTTCCAGCTTTCCAGTTCTAAGATGATGTTGATGATTTCCTAAATATTTTTAGCCAGCGTGAACACTGGTCTTGGTAGATAGCTCTCTGAGTTGTCATTTAAAAAAACACAAGAGTTTCGAAAGTCTGATACAGCAGCATTTGTGAACAGGGATGCTTGACCTGGTCTGCCATCCCTGGGAATCCAATTCTAGGACATTATGCAGCTATTTGATTTTCCATAAGAGATTTTGCTCATGAGGTCAAAGGCTCAAGATTTTATTACATGTCCCTGCGAGAAGGCTGGTGTGCTGATCTGCAGATTCATACAGTAGTCAATGAATTCAAAATCTAATGATGTCAAGCGTTCAGTGATGTTCCTGTGCCAATGGTAGCCCCCTATGTTTAATTAACTTGATCTTTTCGTTAGTCAGCAAACTAGAGGGCAGCTTTCCACTCCCAAATGCCCGTACGCATCTGGGACAAACGCAGGGATATAGCAAAATTTCTTCTTGCTAGCTAATGCCAAAGATTGTGCCTAGCCTTTGGAACTCCCTCCCACTGGAGGCCAGGCTGGTCCCATCTTTGCTGCCCTTCTGCAGGCAGGCAAAGACCTTTCTTTTCAGGCAAGCTTTCCTTTTGTCTGGGAAAGGTTTTTAATTGGATTACTTGTTGCCTTGAATGCGTTTTTGATGTTTCTTTTGTTTACTCTCTTTTACAGTGGTATCTGTTTGATCCTTTTTAGTATTTGTTTACTTACTGTTTTTAGCTTTCAATATTGCCTTCTAGGGATCTAAGCCATCCTTGTTAAGGAGAAAGTAGGGTTTAAAATATTGTAAATACATAAATAAAAATACAGTGGTTACAGCAGGGTGAGTAACTCCAAAGGTTCAGGGCCGTTGTCTACCTCTCTCTGACTCATAGGATCAGGGCCGTTGTCTACCTCTCTCTCACACCAAACTTTTCTAGTGAGATTAGAAGCTACAAGAAGGTCATGTCTAGATTTTAGAAAACGTTGCACTTGTTTGCTTTGGTGAAAATAAGTGTGTATGTTTAGGGTCATGTCTTAAAAGCTCCCGGAGGCTTCTTTTCCTGCTTTTGAAATATGATTCATTGTGGTGGATACAGTGATGGACTATGACTCTGGAGAAGAGAGTTCGAATTCTTGCTCAGCCATGAAAACTCACTAGGGGAGTGGAACTTGGAAAACCAATCCTTAAATAGCTCACTTACCTTGAAATCCCTATTAGGGTTCGATGTGTTGGTGTCAGGTCTTTTAAAAAAACTTGATCCCTTTTGAACATATGACTTCTTAGCTGACATGTAAACACATGTGCACTATGCAACTTTATAGAAATTTGTTTGGCTTCTTCCATTTTACCCTTTTCAAGACATCAACCAATCTTCCTTCCACCTCATTTTCGGGGACCAAAGAAAATGGAGGGTAGCCACTGTGTTCTGGGATCAGCAGCTTCTCTTTTTAGGATAATTTTGAGACGTTCCATACCTCTCACTGGAGTGAGTGTGGAGTCCCAGGTGGATTACGCTGCCTTCAAAGAATAAAGACAGACATTTGCAACCTTGGAATAGATGCAAGCATTTGCTATGAGAGGCATCTGTACATTTAAGGGACAGTTTTAAAAACGTTGATAGCATTCGCTGAGATGGGAGGAGGAGAGGCCTTTCCTGCGACTGCAGCAGGCATGGAGGAATCTTTTAACTCTTTCCTGTCCCACTGTGGTCTGCAGGGAAAAGCCTGCCTCTGAGACCAGATCCATTGACCTTAGCAGCCAGTGGGTGGGTCCTTCTCCACCTCCAGCAAAAATCGCATACAGCAAAGGTGAAAAAGATTCACTAGGGATGGTTGTAATCAGTAGAAGCTAATGATTCAGGGCTTTTTTTTTGGGGGGGGGAGGTCCACTTGAGTGTTTGACCCAACTTTCCATGTGCTTTCCAAGGCATTGAACCTCTTGCCCTAATAGGTTTTACACCTTCTATGATTCCTTTTTAAGTTCGGACTAAAAACCCAGGCAGATTCACCACTTAGCCCTGACAATCTAGACTGACCGGCCTCATGTCTCCCTCCTTTTCACTGGTTTTTTTCCGGGGTGGTGGTGAACATGTTGCTATCACCCTTACAGGTACTTAGCAAAGCTCTCGTCGGTGGGCAGCATCTCGGAAGAAGAGACCTGCGAGAAGCTGAAGGGCCTGATCCAGCGCCAGGTCCACATGTGCAAACGGAACCTGGAAGTCATGGACTCGGTGCGCCGGGGCGCCCAGCTGGCCATCGAGGAATGCCAGTTTCAGTTTCGCAACCGCCGCTGGAACTGCTCTACCTTGGACAGCCTGCCGGTCTTCGGCAAAGTGGTGACTCAAGGTAACGTCCACTTCCCTTCCGATCGGGGGCAACCCGTGTATGGTATCTTTTCTCCGAAGGGAAGTAGGCTGATGGGGGGAAAAGAAAGCTTAATTTCTCCTATGACAAGGGAAAAAAAACACACAACCAAATATTGCCATGTGGGAAGAATCCTGCTCAGGGTTCTGGTTAGTCAGCCAGCCAGTTAGATCTGCCCCCTTGCAGGCTAACCCATGCCATCCTCCCTACACATTTCTCTGCACCTTCTTTTTTTCCGATTCTTCCAAAATAAGCATAGATGTTCTACAGTAATGTAGAACAGCCCATTGAGCTTGGCGGCACCCACGAACTGGACTATTCATTCCTCTGACATTTGCACCAGCACCCACCATTTTTATTTTTAGATGCTTTTTAAATGTTTTTGCAAGCCTCACCCCTATAGCAGTCCAAGCTTCCAGGTATTTCATGGCCAATGTATGCTTGGAATGTTCAATTTCATAGGTTCCGCATTGAATTCAATGTGTTCCATAGATTGCTAGTGTTGTATACTGCTTTGACGTCTTTGGATCTAAGCGGGTTACAAATGCTAGTAAACAATAAACTAATAGATGAATAAAACGTCAATGAGTGTTCTTGGCCTGTAATTTTGTCATTGGGCTCCTTTAAGGTTCCTATTGTTAAATGTTTTTTTAGTTTTGATTATTTTTCTTACTTTTGCAAACTTTGGCCTCAGTTCAGTCACTGCTGCCAGCTAGAGTAAATCCAGTGCATCGGTGGGACTTGAATAAATCATGACTAGCAATGGGCACAAACCGAACTACGAACCAAAAAAATCAATGAATGGGGCTGGTTCATAGTTCGGTTCGTGGAACCTGTTTTGCCGAAGCAGAACGAAATGCTAACGCCTTCCCACTGCCCTCATTGCCTTCCCTACCTGGTCCTGCTGCTGCCACCATCATCCTCGGGCAGGCAGGCTGGCTCCAGGAAGGGAAGCCATCCCCCTATCTTGATGATGGTGGAGGAAGAGAAAGAGTCAGCACCAGGACCAAATAGTGAGGCGACAGGGGCAGTAGATCATTCCCCCCTCCCCTCCGGCCCTCACGAACCTGAAAAATGAACCACATACCCGTTCGTTTGAGGGTTTGTGTGATTGTTCGTGGGTAGACCTGAACCACGAACCACTGTTTTTCCGGTTCGTGCCCATCTTTAGTCATGACCTCCTTTAACTGTCAATTTAGTGGGTCTACTCTGGTTAGGACTGGCAACCGGATTAAATAGTTTGGGTTTCCCCCAAGCTTGCTAAAACTTCTCCCTCTTGCCTTTTGCAAGGACAGGATCTTGGAAAAACAGGAGTCTGCTGATGCTCAAGGATGATAGAACTGGTAGTCCCATGATGTCTACAAAGCCATCACTACCCATGAGTAACAGCTTGTCATCCAAGGTCCATTTTCTTCCCTGGATAGGCATGAGGTGGCGGTAGGCAGTTCTGGTGGACCCGGAGGCCAGATTTTGCTCTGGCCCCCCAGGGGTGATGTGTCGGCGCCTGGCCCACCCCAGCATAAGGGGACCAGAACGCCGCACAAGGACTGCGATCGGTTTTGTTGCCCACTTGAGATTCTGCTTCTTCACAATCACACACACCCCTCTGAAAAAAGGACACCCACAAACCTCTGCTGCTTCTTCTAAGTGTATGCTCACCGAGCCCTGGGCATTTCAAAAAGCACCAGGAAACTGGAGTTGTTCTTTCTCATGGGCAGCCGCCGAGCACAACCGACTTTAACGTTAGCCTGCTATTAACCTCGATTAACTCAGAGGCCGTACAGTTGCTGCCCCAGCGGGGGGGGGGCGACAACGACGACGAGCGGGCCAGGCGCTCCCAAGACGCTCCGGCTGTCTCGGAACAGCAGCCGGCTGTGGGAACCGAGGAGCAGCCTCAGTTTGGCTTCTGCCCAGATCCACCGAGAAAGAGAGAGAGAGAGAGAGATTGACAGAGACTGAGAGAGAGAGAGAGAGAAGGGTCTGTTCCACTCTGACCGCCCTTGGCAAGAACAAGAGGGATTCAGGGTTTCACCCGGGAACCGCTAAACCAATATCCCTCATTGGATTTGCGCACACACACCACCCACAATGCTTCTGCCAAGATGAGAACAGTTTGATGGGGGAAGAGGTGTGCTAAAAGGAGGCTTGCAAAGGGAGGGAGAGAGAGAGAGAGAGAGAGAGAGAGAGAGAGAGAGACGGGGCATATATCCCAGTCTAAGCCACAGTTCCCATGTTGGTAGGATCCTGGGGAAAACATTCCAAGCTTAAGAACAGAGCTAAAAAAGCAAACTGTGTCCTTTGTACACTGCCATGTGCCTTGGAGAATTTCTACTTTTGACTCCATGTCCCATACTCCTTCAACTAGTATGTAGTCCAATCCCCCCCCCCAAAAAAAACTGTTATATACTCAGAAGGGTTTTGAATATGGAAGATTGTGTGTGTATGTATATGTGTTGTTGCTGTAGCTGCTGCTGTTTAGCTTGCGAGTGCAGAGTCTGAAGTCCATTCTTAAGTGGGAACAAACCAGGGTAGAAAAGGAAAAACTGGGAGCTAATTCAAAGAAGTGCAAAGGGTATCTCCGTGTACAAACAAAGAGCTTCTCCAATCCCTTCTTTAGGGGAGATAAATTGTGTGTATCGGGCGATAATAGAGAATTTATTTAGGGAAGAACAGTTTGGAATTTTCATTCCTGTTGGACTACAGTCTCCATAATCCACCTATCAGCCAGGGGGATTCTGGGTGGCGAAGGCCAAAAATGAAATTTCCAAAGTGCTGAAGGTATGGTGGACTGAGGAAGCCTCAAATGTTCTAGAAGCACTTTTTAAAAATTAAGGAGAGAGGAAAAAAAGGAAGAAATCCAGCACAACCTTTAGGAATGAAATATGGGAAATGATGGAGACCAGGAGGGGGGGGGAAAGAACCAGTATGGAAGAGAACCAGAATGGAGTGTCGTAGGAAAGGGGCTGGCGGGCGGGTGGAGTAGCTCTGCTCTGCATTACAAGGACTGCTGGAGAGCTCAGTGGTTTAGGTCTCTGGCTGTGGAGCCAGAGGTTAGTTCGATTCCCCACTGGGCCTTCTCCTCCTCCTTCTTATTCTCATCATCATTATTATTATTAGTAGTAGTAGCTTGATTAATCTTTAGAAGTTTTTGTGACAGTTAGCCTTGGCTGCTGTTTCTATTGGGAGGCGGGCAGTGATTTAAAAGCAAGGTGATCTGATTTAAATCATATTTAAACCCCTAACCAAGCAGGCAAACTGTTTGCAAGGGGCAGCAAGATTTTATGCCACCTAGGTTTCAACCGCGCATCTGTCTTCTTTCCCAATTCTGCCAGGGACCCGGGAGGCAGCCTTTGTCTATGCAATTTCCTCCGCCGGCGTCGCTTTTGCCGTGACAAGGGCGTGCAGCAGCGGCGAACTCGACAAATGTGGCTGTGATCGCACCGTGCACGGGGTTAGTCCTCAAGGTCAGTAGCGCTGGAGGAATGGGAGAAAAGGAAGCACCACGAGATCCAGGTCAACGGTGGGTGGAGGACAGCCTATGGGAGGGTCCCCAAAGCCTGTTTTTGTAGTCTTCAGACTGTTAGGGAGTTGGTTCATCCTGTATTGGGTCTTCCTCTTTTCCTGCTGCTTTCAACTTTTCCTAGCGTTATTGTCTTTTCTACAGAATCCTGCTTTCTCATGACAGACCCAAAGTAGGACAGCATCAGTTTCAACGTTTTTGCTTCCAGAGAAAAATTCAGGCTCAATTTCATGTAGGATCCACTTATTCATCTTTCTGGCAAACAATCCACAAAGCTCTCCTCCAGCACCACTTTTCAAACAAATCATTTTTTTTCCAATGTCTGGCTTTCACACCCATACATGGTTGTCGGCAAGATGAGAGCGTGGATTAACTCAGTCTTGGTATCCAGTGAGACCTTCTTATACTTGGTGTAATAATTTACAGAGATGGGATTTACAGAGGTGGTGCCTTAACAAGAGCCATTCAGACAATGGATGTCACTCTAGTTGGGATAAGCCGCTGGATTTAGCACAAAGACAGTGTGTTTTCCCTTCCTGGCTTCTTCTATACATGTTTACTCCTTTCAGCGGCCGATTTAAAAACGGTGCAACGGATCAAACTAAAGGTTTCTCTGAACCGAGTGGCGTGTGGCCTCATCATGTTCAGCGCCGAGAAGCGAGCGAGTGAGGTGGGCACGCACCAGCCGGGACTCAAAACCTGGCCTGCCAACTTGGCAAGCCCGCCTAAGGGTCTCTTCTCCTGTGCCAGCAGAACAGCTGTTGCGTCCCGGCAGTGGAGCCACTCCACGTGGGTGTAAAGGGAGCACAATTAAACTCTGTTGCTGAAACCTGGCACAGCCCCGACCACCTTGAGGCAGCTGTTAGGCTCCTGGCTTTCCAGCAGGGTCTGCTTCATGCTTTTACTTTGCCCTTGTTTCGTTTTTTTTAAAGAGAAACACAAAAACCAAATTTAAGACATGCCAATTCCAGGTGGCCACCATCTTTATTTTTGACAGTGCCCTGGAAGGTCGTTAATCTCTGGGAACCTTGTGGAAGGGAACAGGGGAACATGGCTAATGGCACATGGTTGATGTTGGCTTTCTTTCCTTTTCAAAAATCCTTTCTCCTTTTTCTTTTCTCATACAATGCCCTGAAAGCCAACTCAGCTTCTAAACAGAACAGGAGAAAAAAATGTTCCAAAGGGACAGAGGGCCAAATTGTGTCAGATGGCAGCTTTGTAACTGGAAAGTGATTAAGATCTCCATCGGAGATGCATTCCTGCAAGGCGGGCATGGTCAGTCAAATGACTGCCTCCTGGGGCCAGTTGCCAGACAAAAACAAGCTCAATGGCAACGTCTGGACTCCTGGAGCTGCGGAAACCTCATAGGAGGAAAACCTAACATCCTTTATCTCTTAAGGAAGCGCCACTTCTAACTGCAAAGCTCATATGCTATTAGAGGGGTAAGCTCAGAACTTACCCTCCTGGATAGCAGCTTCCAGAACTACCGCCACCGCCACCATCTCTCCAGTGGCCATGCTGATTGGGGATGTCTGAGAGCCATCAGCCCAAATGGTCATGTTTCTGAGATCTGAGTTCAAACTCCCAGAAACCTAAGTACATAGTCTCGATCCTGGCAAAGTCAGTTTCGAGACAACCCTTCCTCAAGACCTTCAGAAGAAGGAAGCAACTGCCGCCACTTTTATTCACCGTTGGGTTGCAGTTCCGTAGAGGCCAATGCCAGTGACATCACGCACCACCTTTCTATTCCTTGCCCAAACCTAGGCTTCCAGTGGTCCGGCTGTTCCGACAACATTGCCTATGGGGTGGCCTTTTCACAGTCGTTCGTCGACGTGAGGGAAAGGAGCAAAGGGGCCTCCTCCAGCCGAGCGCTCATGAACCTTCATAACAACGAAGCTGGGAGGAAGGTAACGGTAGCACCCCTTCTGTGTTTGCCTTCAGATTGCAGATTTTGTTTCTGGAGGAGACTGGCTCACCTATTAATTATGATTTAAACGGGATGCTTTTAGCTTTTAGAAAGAACACCAACATCACATACGAGAAGCATCTGGCCACATAGGATCCAGACAGGCGAAGGTCCTTCATCCGTATCGGAGGGTTGCACAATTTAAAATTATGGATGTATATGATATATAGGCAAAGTTAAAAAGAAATTTAAATGTTGAGATTATTAGGATGGTTTTTACACAAAAAGGTACTTCAATGGCATTATCTTGGCTGTTTGCTAGATCTTCTGGTGGGCCATACATTGCGTGCACATTAAGTGCTGCATGGATTGAATTTCTTCAGTCACAGAAAAATTGTCCTGTATCCAAGTAGTGCCATTTTACTTGACTATTCTCTGATCTTCCTACTTTGCTTGAAATCTATTAGGTGGCCCAGTTAAACCAGTGTGTCCCAACCTTAGGTCCCCAGATGTTCTTGGACTCAAACTCCCAGAAGCCTTCACCACTAGCTGCGCTGGCCAGGATTTCTGGGAGTTGCAGTCCAAGAACATCTGGGGACCCAAGGTTGGGAGCCACTGAGCTAGAGGGAGGTCCTTTAGAAAGGTGACCAGTTCTCTGCCTCTCCTCCTTGCTGCTGTGTTCTCTGCTCTGACATCATTTCCGCCTGAGCTTGGAAGCAAATAAGACTTCCTTGGAGTGCAATTAGAACTCCCCATCTAGTATCACTAGATGGGTGCAAAGAGCAGGCCAAATCTGGCCCATCAGTACTGTTTTTAGGTTTAACATCTATGCCAAGCCCAAGATCAGAGGTTGGAAAAGATGCTTAGAATCTTAGAACTGCAGACATAGAAGGGATCCTCTAGATCACAAAGTCTAGCAGGATAGTTTAGTGGTTTAGGCATCTGGCTGCAATGTCGAGGGTTGCGAGTCCGTTTCCCCATGGGGCCTCCTCGACAAGGACTGACTCAAGGATGCCTATGGTCCCTTCTCTCTTTGCAATTCTAAGATGATTAAGATTCAGGACCTCAGCCGCTCCTGCTATGTCTCTTCCAGGCCATCCTCAACAACATGCGGGTGGAGTGCAAATGCCACGGGGTGTCGGGCTCCTGCGAGGTGAAGACCTGCTGGAAAGCCATGCCGCCGTTCCGCAAAGTGGGCAACGTCTTGAAGGAGAAATTCGACGGGGCCACGGAAGTGGAGCAACGCAAGGTGGGCTCCACCAAAGTGCTGGTGCCCAAGAATTCCCAGTTCAAGCCCCACACGGACGAGGACCTGGTCTACCTGGACTCCAGCCCCGACTTCTGCGACCACGACTTAAAGAACGGCGTGCTGGGCACCAGCGGGCGCCACTGCAACAAGACCTCCAAGGCCATAGACGGTTGCGAGCTCATGTGCTGTGGGCGGGGCTTCCACACGGACGAGGTGGAAGTGGTGGAGCGCTGTAGCTGCAAATTCCACTGGTGCTGCTTTGTCAAGTGTAAACAGTGCCACCGGGTCGTGGAGATGCACACGTGCCGGTGACATGGGACACCGGAGTCTCCGTCTGGAGAGGGACACCCCCACCAAGGACCACGCGGGAGAGGGAGACCGGGAAGGAGATCACGGCCAAAAGAAACAGATTTTTTTTTAAGAAAGGGAAAAAAATTATTTAAAGCTCCCGTCGTGATCGTGTTATTATTATTAATTTTTTTCCCTCCCTTCGTTGCTGTCGTCCTTCTTGGTCTGCTTTATTTATTGGCCTAACTGGACATTTTCTGGATCGGGCCCGTCTCATTCCGTGGTGTTGTGGTGGCAAAAGGACCTCAAAAGGGATGCTCAAGTCCTGCCTAACAGTGAAAGCAGGTTCCTGGGACAGCGGTGTGGAAAGCAGTGCCAATCCCAGAAAGAAAGAAGCTTTTTCAACAATACAGTAGGATCTCCATATTTGCGGGGGATTGGTTCTGAGCCCCCTCATGGATGCTGAAAATCCTGGATCATAGTGAACACTATAGATGGCATGGCCAAAGGGGGAGGGGGAATCCAGATATATATATTTCACCATTTATTTCCAGAAATGGCCACTAGAAGGAGCCAGAAATCATGCTATACAACAAGAACATAGCATGGTCTCTGGCTTCCTCTAGTGGCCAGTTCTGAAAAATACACGTGAAAATACATATTTCTAGTTTTTTTTTTCTTTTGATATCTTTAATGTTTTCAGACTGTGGAAAAGTGTAATTGCAGATATGAGGATTCTACTGTAATATTATTCTCAAATTTTGGTGTAACAGAAGAAGGCAAGCTGTGTATTCCAGGAATGGAATCAGAAAATGGCAACAGGTGATATATTAATTGGGTCACCAAAATGTCGCAATAGTCAGCTGTGGGGTCAACTGGTGAAGACTCCTCAAGGATTCCAAAGCTTGCTTTTATTAAAATATCCTGGTGCCCCAATCCATGTATTTTCCATTTGTATCACGAAATTATTTCAGACGTGACTGATTTTTCTAGCAGCAAGACAGTGGGAAATGGTGACACTCATCAGCCAATTGGCAATGCCTCCTACCATCCCTCACACCCTACATGCTAGGTCCAATCCACCAGCTTATTGACATGAACTGAGCTCTATTGCATAGCTTTGGTTTTGCTTCCATGGGTCTTGCTGTATTGTAGGTTATGTTTCCATGCACCTGATCTTTCTTGCCAGTGTTCTTCAGGATGCTAAAGTATTTCCCAGTGCTCAAGTGGGGCAGGATTAAGGTGGGTATCCACACTATACATATCAATGGTTCCCAACCTCAGGTCCCCAGATGTTCTTGGACCACAACTCCCAGAAGCTTTCACCAACTAGCCATGGGGGCCAGGATTTCTGGGAACTGTAGTCCAAGAACATCTGGGAACCCAAGGTCAGGAGGCACTGTTGACACCCCTTTGCTGTGTCTGCATCCTAAGGAATCCTGAGATCTGTAGTCTGGTGTGAAGGATTTAAAGCTCCATAGGGTTTTCCCCCACCTGTTCTCCGCCCCATGGCAAAAAGGCCCCTCTACAGGTTTAAAGGACACCCCTTTGCTGTGTCTGCATCCTAAGGTCTGCAGTCTGTTGTGAAGGATTTAAAGCTCCATAGGGTTTTCCCCCACCTCTTCTCCGCCCCATGGCAAAAAGGCCTCTCTGCAGGTTTAAAGGTGCCTGGGGGGCACTGTGATGCAACATTAGGGAACCACTGACTTTTCGTCTAGGGAAGGGCTGGGCAATGTATGGCTTGGCAAGAGTTGTTTTTTTTTTACTGCAGCTCCCATGATTCCTCGCTCATGCTAGGTGCCTGGGGGGCACTGTGATGCAACATTAGGGAACCTCTGACTTTTCGTCTAGGGAAGGGCTGGACAATGTATGGCTTGGCAAGAGTTTTTTGGTTTTTTTTTTTTTTTTGACTGCAGCTCCCATGATTCGTCACTGATGCTTGCTAAAAGAGATGGGAGTCATAGTCTAACAACATCTCGAGGGATGTATTGGGCTGACCCAGGCCGGGGCACTGTGATGCAACATTAGGGAACCTCTGACTTTTCGTCTAGGGAAGGGCTGGACAATGTATGGCTTGGCAAGAGTTTTTTGGTTTTTTTTTTTTTTTTGACTGCAGCTCCCATGATTCGTCACTGATGCTTGCTAAAAGAGATGGGAGTCATAGTCTAACAACATCTCGAGGGATGTATTGGGCTGACCCAGGCCTCCAGAAAAGTCCCTGTCAGTCCTGGGGGGTCTGAAAAGACCTGTCGGAATACCTGCAGAGCCATGGTTAGCCCATGGTGAGAAGAAGCCGCGTGGATCAAAACTTTGACTCTTTCTCCTCTTCTGCAAGGCCTCGGGGAGGATTGACTGGTAGAAGAGCAGAGAAGTCTTCCTCTTTTTCTTCTTCCTCTGAAGGTTTTTCATCATCCTAACTGGGGGGGGGGGAGAATTAGGCAGCCCAGTGGGATGAAGGAAGGACGCAGCCACACATTCCAAGACTATTCCTGCACCAGCAATGATGGGAGAGGGAGAGGGAATGTGGTCGCTGGAAGAGGCTCCAGATAAGGTCCGGCTGGAACTTTTTGGATGGGAACAAGACCGTCCCGGTAACTGGAAGATCTCATATTGCAGGGGGGGGGAGCTGAGCTGTTTGCCCTGAAGGGGCCCCCTTGATGTAAACCTTGCTAGGAGAAAGCAGGAACATGCTAGGGGGCTCCTGTTCTCTCCTCCTGTCTTGTGGGAAGAGGTGGCCACAGGTCTTCCGACAGGCTGATGAAAAATGCAGTTTGGCAAAGATTTTCTTCTGAATGACGGCTCCCAGTATGTTCAAGCTAGCATGGCTGATGGATCCAGTGGTCCTGTACTAGAGATGACTCACAACTAGATTTCATCATCATCTTAGAACTGCAGGTCTGGAAAGGACCCTATGATCATTGAGTTTAAGCCAATGAGCCTTGTAGACACTCTGAAAACCAAATAGAGGGTATTCTGACTTACGGTATGCTTTGGGCACACCATGGAAAGACAAGACTCACTTGAAAAGGCAACGACACTGGGGAAAGTTGAAGGCAGGGCAAGAGGAGAAAGAAGAAAGATGGGATGGAGTGACTTTATAAAGGAAGCCACCGCTTTTTCTTTGCCAGACTTGACCAGGGCTGTAAATGACAGGACCTTTTGGAGGTCACTGATTTGTCATAGAGTCACCCTAAGCTGGAAACTAGCTGACAGCACATTCACTAAATCAATGGTTCTCAACCATGGGTCCCCAGATGTTCTTGGACTACAACTCCCAGAAATCCTGGCCAGCATAACAAGTGGTGAAGGCTTTGGGGAAATGCAGACCAAGAACCACCTGGGGACCCCAGTTTGAGGATCACTGGATCCACAAACTCATTTATGAGCACAATCGCTAGAGCCACATTTTAAGCGTCCAAAATGGAGATCCAACAGCAGTATGCCAAAAAAATGCTGTTAGCAGGGAAATTTCAAACTACCAAGGTTCATCTGGCTCACGTTTTTTTCGGTTGTGACCCATTTCGTCAAATGCAAAGTTGCTTACAAGACACATAAACTGTATTTTTAAGGTGTCCTATTGATGTGTAGGAGATTGGTGTGTCTGAGCAAGAGAAGGTGAGCACAGGAAGATCAGTTAAATGTGTACCCATTGCCTCATCTGATTTATAGCAACAGAGCAGTGGAAGATGTCAGCTTTCTAAAAACTTCATATCCTGAACATCATGGTTTTAGTGCTGCTACTCTGAAAATTATGTTGCGGCTCCTCCTGTAAGAACACATACTTAAAAAAGGAAAGGGACACTCTTTCGCAATGTGAAAAATGCTAAAATCCACAGCAATGTTAACATCCTTTTTAGGTCACTTCAGAGGTCACCAGAAATGTGGCAATTTTTGAGATCAGATGTTACAAAAATACATGCAAGGCCAGGAGGCTGGCGATGATGAAATCATGAAACTGTCATGGTACTACAGTACAGTAGTTCTCTTTACAGCTACCTGTTTTCCCGAAAATAAGACAGGGTCTTATAGTAATTTTTGCTCCAAAAACACATTAGGGCTTATTTTCAGGGGATGTTTTATTTTACAGTCATATATTCCGGTTGCTGCACAATGCTACACAATGGTGGAGGGTGGGGTTTCACTTAATTGGGACTTATTTTGGGGGTAGGGCTTATATGACAAGCATCCTGAAAAATCATACTAGGGCTTATTTTCAGGCTAGGTCTTATTTTTTGGGGAAACAGGGTACTATCATCATAAAGCAGTGGTTCCCAATCTTGGTCCCCAGAGATTGGACTGCAATTCCCAGAAGCCTTTGCCGGAACAGCTAGTGGTGAAGGCTTCTGGGAGTTGTAGTCCAAGAATATCTGGGGACCCAAAGTTGGGAACCAATGGCATGCCATAGAGCTTTTATGATCAGTAAGGCACCCAGTTTGTTTTTATTTGACGAAGTCTTGCTGAGAACCAGTATGGTACAATGGACAGTGTGTCAGATCAGGAACCTGGTTCAAATCCATGCTTCGTTTTGGAAATGAAGTGGGAGGTGGGGATGATAAACCACTCCTTGAGCATCGTGCACATCTTGAAAACCTAGCTGGGGTCACCATAGGTCAGAATTGACTCGATGGCACATAGTAAGAATAAACAAAACCTGTGGAGGAGCATTTCAATTGTTAAAGAGGCAAATAATAATAATAAGCAGCTGGGAACCAACAAATAGTGTTGTGATGCGGTATGGTCATTTGGAGAACTTCAGAGATCAGGACTGGATTCGGCCCCTGGTGCTGGCAACACTGAGCTACATGGCCCAGTGCTCTGAATCAGGAGAAGGCAGCTTTTCATCAAACAATTTTCACTGAATCACTAGCCCCTTTTCCAGCATCCCTTCTAACCCATGCTTGGAATGGCATCTTCTAATTATATTTCGACTGGGTTGGATAGCTCAGAGAGTTAAGTATCTGGCTGCAGAACCAGAAGTTGGGAGTTCAATTCCTTTCCTGGGTGGCCTTGGGCAAGCTGTACACAGTCCCAGGACACTCTCAGAAGAAGGGGATGATAAACCACTTCTGAGGACTCTCTACCTAGAAAACCCTGAAAAGGGCCTCACCATAAATCAGGATTGGCTCGACAGCACATAACTACAGTATTATTAACTGTATTTTGGGATTATTTCTCTTTTGGGCTACATAGGGTTATATATACTCTGGTTCCCTACTTGAACCTTCCTTTTCGGCCTAGTTTGAGAGGACACGTCCTCAAGGTCGGGCTTTCTCGAGGCACATCTTGCAGTTTTCGGCTCTGGGGCCAAGAGAGGCTGCTGCCAGCAGGACACTTGTGTGGCTTCCTGCACATGGCCATCTCGGCCAAGAGCCAGAAGAGCCACTGAGAACAAACAGCATGTGCATTTGGAATTCCTGGACGCAGCACTTTGGGGCTGACCCTTGTAAATGTCAGCTTGGCCCAGATTTGCTTTTGCTTTTATTTATGTTGACAGTTAAAAGCGTTCCAAGCTAAATTAACTTTCAGCTTCCTTTTCTGTTTTCTTTTCTTCTCTCTCTTTTTGACATGAAGCAGAATAAGCGCTGGGCCTCACACTCATCATATTTGCAGCTCAACAAATGGGTCCAGCTCGCCTCTAAAATTAGCAGATTTCCTCCAACGCTGCTTGAATCAATGATCTTCTGGTTGCTTAATTTTGAAACCTCAAAGATCCTACATCACTTCTCAATACATGTGACAGCTGGATAGCTCAGTGGCTTAGGTCTCTGGGTGTGTCTTCTGGGGTAGCTCAGTGGCTTAGGTCTCTGGCTGTGTCTTCTGGGAGAAGAGCTAGCCCGTGTAGCCTTGGGCAAGCTGCAGAGTCTCAGGGTGCCCCCAGAAGAAGGGAATGTGAATCCACTTCTGAATACTCTCCGTCTAGAAAAACGTGT